CACCTTAATTAACCAGATTGTCAGGACGTCCTTCACTATCTGCGAATCAAAAAATCCCAGCTCTTGATAAGGTTTATCATACAATTAGGCAAACATTTGTAAATTCTCAGCAGAAGGCAAACTCAAGTATTCAGCGTGAGAACAGGATTCCCTCCGACAGAACACTCTATGAGGGTAGTTTCATTTTGATAGAGTTTTTGAATTTTTTTCTTATCAGGGAAGCTGTCTTAAAAGTTAACAAATGTGGATACTCGTTGCGGGGATACCCTGCGAGTAGGGCATGTGCAGCTAATTTCATAGCTCAACGCACTCGATTTTGTCTACGCGATGGCATGCTGAAGAGAGATTGGTGCTTGGTTGGATTCACCTGATTTCGGGAAACTGGCAATGAACTATTTCAGTTTTGTGTGAGGTCACAAAGTGGTCACCATGGTCTTTATCCTGAATCCGTGCGCTTTCGCTTTTGGGAGAAGTTTTGAACCTTCTTTGAAGTCTAATTGTTGAAGAGATCGCTTCCTCTTGTTGTAGCTAGTACATTTCAAAAATTGGTGCTTTTTGTTACGTAACGAGCGGAAAGAGACGGAGGTAATGTAGTATTAGGTGACGCCACATCCTACGCTGCTAGTCCCGGTTCAAATCTCAGATCGCCTGCCGTCTAGACTACTGAGAATTGGATCCCTCAGGGTCTATTCAGATGGTAAGAGGATAGTTGAGGAGAATGAGAGCGCTGACTTGGGCTGACCACACAGGCCTTGTATAGGCATACTGCATTCAAAATGCCACTACGATTCTATTTCTGTTCGCTGTGAGTGGAATGCGTGGCGCATCTCAAAAGGCAAAAGTGGTTGATCAACGACTGTGACTCACATATTCATCCCTTCAATCATTTTTCAATTATCTGGGCCTTACGTAATTTCTGCTACGCTTTTCGGTTCTCTGGTGTAGCAGAGTACAGCTGATATCTATCGCATTTGGTTCTCACTACTTTCTAGAGAGCTGTCATAAGCAGCAAGAGGATGCCACCAACACTCCTCATCATCAGGGTGATATATGGTTGGAAAGAAAGTTCTGCAACACTTTTTCAAAAATTTTCTTTTCTTCTGAAAAAT